GAATAACGGAATCAGTCACAGACCAGCACAGCGCTGTTAATTCAGTTACGCTCAGATATAAAAAAAAAAAAGATCAGGAACCAGCGAGAAGTTTGTGCCTCACCACAAACTTAGCAGGAAGGTACTCGCTTAACCGTCTCTCCATCCCCTCGTACACTGGGTTCCCCCGGCAGTCCCTTGGTGTGGCACAGCCATCCCCCTCCCAAAGGGCCACAGCTTCAGAACAGCGGGCCCGGGAGACCTCCGCTAAAGTCCTCGTCTTCCGTCAGAGGCAAAACCTCTGCCGAAAGTGTTTCAGCTTACTTCATTTGAACTATTATGCAACATACTGCAACTAGACATTTGCAATAATTATTCAACTGGACTGAGTTACATTAACTGTAAAATTCAGGATATCACATGACCTATTAAACTAGGCTAAAACATGGGGAAAAAAAACACACTAAACATTGACAGTTTGAACTGCTGATGTGAGGTGCGGGCACCCAGCACCCCAGAAATACAAAAACTCGTGGCAACCCTTATTAGTGACGTAAAATTACGGTGAAAGAAATGCCATCTGCACAAGAAAATAAAGTCACAAAGCTGCCATCAAATAATTTATTTCATACTTTTCTGTACCTTGTCTCTTTCCACTTGAAATCTTTTACCTGCACGATGCCACTGCCCACAGAAAAACATCCCGAGCGGAAGTGCTCGAACTAAGGACATTCGCGCACGCTTAGACGTAGCCCAAGGCCTGTTTGCGTCTATCTGTGCACGTTAGCCAACAGCGTGGGCCACCGGGAGGGAGCAGAGCTGTAGATCGCCGTTAACAGTTTACGGTGGGGACCCGGCCCCCACCCCGTACCACGCTTCCGGGCTCAGGCGGGCTGACTGGCTGCTAGCGGTTGTAGCACGTTAGCTACGCTCCTGGCGTGCGTACGCTCCCAGCTTTCACGCGAACCATTTCAGCTCTAGGAATGCTGAAGTTGTTTTTTTTTTTTTTAAATTCAGTCAAAATGTCAGAAGCTTCCAGGCACACTAATAGATGGGATTAGAACCAGCCTTTCTAAATCTAGGAAAAGGTAGAAGCCCCTTTCCAGGAAAGGTGGCTCAGAACAAAATTACTCGTGTTTTACTCTAACATCTTGACAAGCTGTACTGGTTCCTGTCAGAGCGGATCAATCTTGCCGACAGCAAGACTGCACAAAGTTCAAGAATCACAGGTTGTGTATAAATATTATATTGAAATATTACTATATACGTATTTGTAAGTTCCTTAGTTTTCATTTTCATTAAAATGCGTATTAAAATATGCTTATAAATAGCCTGTAACAAGTAGCAAAATTTATATTGCTTTTGAGGCCCTGTCTTTAAACCAAATCACATTAAAAAAAAAAAAGTCACAGAAGACATCATCAGACGCTGATTTTAGTGGTTGTTTTGAAAACAGCTGCAGGCTTGGAATATGCTTTATTCAAAAACGTCGAAGAGGAGTCAATAATTTTCCACGCTTAACCCTACGAATCTGTACGGGCTGCAAGGAAGCTTAGCCGCAGTCTCTCTGTAGCTAAGTTACTCACACACAGCCGTTACCTCTTTGTCCTGGCAGCTCCAGCCACCGCTGGCACCTATCACCCTTTCAACGACAACCTGTTAAAAATCGGGCTTTTCTCTTACTGCAAGTTATAACCAAAGCTCGTTACCACATTCGATCCTCCTCTGTTGAAGTCAGACAACAGGAAGAACTTGCACTGACAGCAAAGGAAGTTCACGCAGGTTCAAAAAAATGGTTTCATTATAAATTTATTTCTTTAAACATGGCCGCTTTGAGATTAATGGTACTACTTCAGGGAACGTGAAAGAATAATAAACAACTTAATTTTGGAAGGGAAACAATCAGGTAAAGGCCAAGCTCCAAGAGGCAATAAATTTTGGCATATGAGGACTTGTATTTTCAGATCCAAAAGTTGGCTTCGTTTTACAGTGGAAGCTGACTGCAACCTTAGCTACCTTTCCATAACGCTGGACTCGGTCGTAACTTAAATGTACAGGAGCATAATGTGAAAAGATTTTTTTTATTAATTAAAAGTTAACAGCAACAGGCACATATTAAAATGAATATGGCAAAGCCTTTACAAATGGCTTTACGCTGAAGCTCTCTCCCAAAAATGGCTGTTGCAACAAACTGTAAACAGAATTAATAAACAGTCTTTTACAATAATAACAGGGAAATACAAATGAACTAAAAGAAAGCACCAGTTTCTCAAACTAGATTACAGTTGTGCTTACTGTACTTAAAACAATGTAAAACAAATTACAAAAATGGAATGTTTTAAGTTTAAAATTAGTCCTTTAATTTTGTCCTAAAAAACATTTTCTCCTTTTCCCATCAAAAACCCATTAGTGGGTAATGTTTCAGTAGAGGGAGGAATACGTAAACAATGCACTTTTTTTTTTATTATTTTTCAAATCAAAAACAAATTTGGTCACTTAGCTTTGTGCATAGTTTAAGGCATCTGTAGCAATTTGTTACAGCTTCCTCCCCGATGTGGCTGTTCATGAAATTGTCACATTCTAAAAGAATAAATAAAATTAAAAAAAAAAATAAAATGTTGCCGTTCAAACCCTTCCCGCTACCCTCCCGCCCTCCCCCGTCCCAAACATACTCACACACCCACACATACACACACGCTGCAGCGAAAGGGGCATTTGTACCCTTGTTCTGAAGGACACGCTTCCCATCCCACTTTATTTCAGATTGGCAAATACCCTGAGCTGATTATGGTGTTTAGACATTCCACCTTTTTCTTGCATGTGCAGTTCAAGTGTACAATAGTGAAAACAACATGCAATGTTTCCACTGCAGAATCGCAATGCAGTAAGAAGTGTTTTCCACCGTTAAAAAATTGCATTCCCATACAGCACTGGAGTAAAGCTTGGCTGTGCTCTATGATGAATGCTCAGTTCCCAGTGCACAAACAAAATTATGGCAAATGGGAGGCTTTTCTGGCATCCAAAGAAACAAGAGCTGCAGTCTCAGATTTGATCTTTTTCTTTTAAAAAAGCAAAAAAACCAAGTTAGTGGTTCCTTCACAGCCATGCGCAAAGGTTAAGTCTAGAACCAATAGTTTCAGAGTACATTTGTAAACATCAAGTCTTGCCAGAGGCAGCAGAGGATGGGCACTTCACATTTCCGTATTAAAACAGGGACTGAGTGGAAGGTATGCTTTGAACACATTTCAGGTATGCAAGTCTTGCTAAATTCCAAGAAAGTGGAACAATCCATCTCAAGTCTTAGATTCGAAGACTGTATTCCAAATGTCACCAAAAAACCAAAACCGTGTGGCACGATGAAGCTTTCGTACTGTTCCTTCAAGGCTCAGTCACTGCTGTGCTTTGCATATTCAAGGTTCCGAACGAAAACCAACTGAGGCGTGTGCATATTGCTCTATGTTCAGATCTTGCAGTTTAAAAAAATTCTGGTTCAAATGGTCTGTGTCAAAGGAAAACTTGGAAATAAATAATGCTGGCATCGTTTTACCATTTCACCGCAACCTTGGGCAGGCAAGTTATCTCCTTTAATCCAACCGTGCAGATACCAAGAGAAGAGGCAGTTTTGTCATGAAGATTGAGGTCAGGACAATCGAGGTTCCTGAGGTAATATGTCTGAGTCCATTTCCTCAAAAGCGGGGTCAACATCGTCACCGCTGCCGGACTGTTCCCTCTGCACTCCCTTCCAGCTAGCCTTGTTTAGTCCCAGGTGGCCAAGCATTGTCTGCGACAGCCTGGTGTTTGAAAACCGGGCCCATTCCCCAAACAGTGGCTCCACTAAGTAGGTCATAAAACCTTTGAAAACAAGCAAACAAACATATCCAAGTGAAAAAAACGGGGGGGAGGGGGGGAACACTCAAACTAAGTTATTTTAAATAAAATTTAGCAAAAAATAAACAACAGACTATTCTCCAGTGTGCATTTAAAAATTCATTGCAATATTTCGGGCATCTTTACAAAATAATCTCTCAAAATGTAAAAGATTTTACTGGTCAGTCAAAAGAACAGCGTTATATTGGATTACAAATTAACCTCCTTTCTTTCACAACAATGACCAAATAAAGGAAAATATTGGAGAACATGGGGGGAGAATCTAAACATCAGCAGCTACTTCAGAAAACCTAAATTTCTAAGAGACAGATTTTATAACAAATTACACATAGACAGTCTGAACTGTATTACACGGGGGGAAAAAAAACAACAATCTTTTCACAATATTAAGCTGATTAAAAATACTGAAAAATACCAATCAGAAATTTTTAAACACAAAGGCCACAGAACATCAACATACAAACATTTATATACATGTCTGTGTGTATGCGCATGTGCGCTTATTTATAGTGTCTATTTCCATGAACCAAAAATTCAGCGGTAAGAGTACCAAAATTGAATCTGCCAATTACAGAAATGTATGATTTTCTAACAATCTAAATTAAAACAGTGCAGCTGATTGAACAGATCAGGTTTTGTCTCTAATTTCAAGCACTAAGTCATATTACATTTGTTAAATTATTTTCTTCACTACGTTTTTAATTGAGTCCCATTCAATCTACATGAACAACTTCATTAAAACAGTAACTGTAAAGAAGTCAGCCCTCTTGCTACTTTAAATCCAACTCAAGTTAGCAAAAAAGTAATATAATGGCTGTTCACAGTTCTCCGTCAAATCTCTGCCCACCACCCTTTTTAAGGCTGCATTTAAAAGGAATGCTAACATTCCAGAGCGCTAAACCCAGAGAGCTGGAACCCTGTTGTGGCAACCTCGCTGTGAAAGGCACCCGAGGACAAGGGAATGAACACTCCTCCTCTTCCCAAACGGGCCACTTCAGGCGAGGAAAGCTCTGGGCAGCAGCACAGGAAAAGCCAGACAGCTGCTTCCCATGCTGTACCTGCTCCCTGAGAAAACACAGGGGCTTCAGTCTCCAGGACTGCCGGTGCAGCACCTTTCGCAAACACTCAATTCCAGGGAGAAGCGTTACACAGCAAACTGAAAAAGAGTGCTCTTTGTAACAAAGTGCTGCCGCGCGCACACACACACAGAGCATCTATGACCTCTAGGAAACGTATCTAAAAGGTACTTTTTTCGAACTGCATCCTGAAAGAAATCTACTAAAATAAATCGAACTGCAGTTACCAATCTGGATGTTGGCAATAGTTTCCGTCTGTCGGTCACAAAGCGGACTCACACCCAAGTGATACTTTTTTTCAATATCTCCTGAAGAAATAGAAGTATAATACAACTATTAAGTCATCAAGTCCAGACCCAAACGGAATCATCAAACACTGATAGAGGCGAGTTGTGCAAGGTGGTTAACACGGATGGTATCCTGCAGCAGGCTGAATGCATTTACGTCCCTCCCCCATCTCCCCAAAAAACACCAAGTAGGTCTGTCAGTGAGACGAACAGTACTTTGTATTTGTCATCAAACAGTCATTAAAGAAAAAACATCAAATCACAGGTTTCCTGAAGGATTAACACACTTCCTTGCAAAACCTCCTAGACTGCCATAGAAATGACAAATTAAGATCCCCCCCTTAGCAATACGGAAGAGAATAGCTGAGCCTTCACAAATGTCTCACTGAAGGCAATTCGTTGTTCTGCTTCCCCATCACCTTTATCTAAGAATAAGCTTCACATGATTAGCACCAAATAAAGCACTCTGTTCCCCATTTAGCATATCCATGCACAAATTAGCATGTCTCCAGTCAGCTAAACTAGCCTTAAGAAAGGAGAAGCACACTTTATTATTAAAACAATTTAATAACAATGAAGAAAATTCACTCCATTTGTCAATTAAAAGCTTTATTAACTGCTTACATAAGTAGCCTTAACTGCACGGTAACTAAAAATCTCCTCCTTAGCTCTTACCTGCTTACCAACAGGCCTCACGGCCAAAGCTTAAATATTGAAGATACATGATGAATATATTTCATAATTTACTGAAACCACTAGGTAAATGTAAAGTGAGCACAATCATTCATCTGACGCACCTTTCAGGCTGAAGGATCTATTGAACCAGCCATCCTAGATTCAGATTCTAAGCAGATTCTTCGTTGGGTTTTAGTAACACTGACCTTTTGCAAGAAGTACGACCCATGAAAGTAAAAAAATCCCATACTGTACTGTAAATCTCTACTAGTCCTAAATATAAATCCCTTTATTTGCAAGCAGCCATGACTCATAGTCGCTCTCTCCGCAGTATAAATACCAACAGATACTTCTACTCTTACTTGCCTTGATGGAAGAACTCCTCTGTTACTTTTTCACTCCACTGCTTACTCAGCTCCCACGTCCGACACGGATTACAAATATCAGCACACTTCAGAGCCATCTAGTAAGTTAACATATACAGCGTTAGATCACCTCTCCCTCCAACAGAAGCATCTGTAATTTACTTCCTGACAGCAGATTATTTTAAGTTTTGTGAATAACAAACCTACCTACCATTTGTGCTTCTCTCTAAAATGATGGTCTATAATCATATTTAAAAAACGTTCCGGGAACTATCAGATCTCATGATCATCTCTGAGTAATATGGAAATTAAGTCCAGTCAAAGTATGTCAGGGGCATGATATTTAGTATATTCACTAGTACAGGAGACAATAAATTCAGGAAAAGAAACATCAAAGTAAGCAAACAGTATTTTCCATTTCTGGCTCTGAAGTTCACATTTTTAATAATGGTTTGCACAGGACTGAACTTATTTGTTTGTCCACTTTCTTTTATAGTCCACAGTATGAACCTAATAACAAAAATTTCTATAAACCTAAAAAGACTCTCAAGGCTTTTGTTTTTAAAGTTTGCTAAACCTCTCTCTAGCACAGCTGCAAACTGATTCACAGCAACAGTGCCTTCCTTTCCTGAAATAGGTTCTGACAAAGCATTTCACAGTTCTGAGTCTGCACTGGAGTCATCAGAAGAACTAAACCTTGTCTTGGAAACACAACTCTCCTTGGTTTAGCAGCTCTGAGTTATCAGACTTAACCAACACACACATCACTTGGGAAGACTGCTGGGAGGGGGGGAGACTGAAGTGGAGGGAACAACCTTTTTGCAACGGAACAAAATTACTAAAAAAATATTTCTACTTCATTTTGAAAGTAGGAGATAGTCTGGAAGAAGTAGTATTTAGCATTTTAAGTAAATTATTTTTGACGCTAAAATGATGTTTTCAAAAATATTACCAAAAAGATCACCTGTAAAATGAAGTGACGATGGTTCGCATTCTCTAAACATAGGTCTCCTCTATCCAAATGGGATCGAAACATGGACAGATACTCATTTTGCTGACTGATGTCTGTGGCAAGAATGAGATCACCTATCTGGCTTTCCATCAGCTGTCTGAAATTAGCGATACCAAACATTCAAAAAGCATAACAATTAAGAACAACAGCCATCACTAGATTTACGTGTCTTATCATATTCATTATTATACATATACAAGATTTATAATCAGCAATTTCACTGAACTATTTGGGTTTTTTTTTATTTTCCCTCTCTGAAAAATCCTACAACATCCATAGAAATACCAGGATGTTTCATTGGCAGCTTTCAGGAAGACTAAAACAGTTTTCAGCTTCCTCCCCCCACCCACTTTTTTTTTCCCCCTTAAAAATACACAAACTAATTGTTTAAAGCTTATTTCTTGTTAAAGTAGGTGAAGAGGGTCTATTTTAAAGTTGTGGTGGCAGAACGAGAAAAGGCTGCCAAGTTTAATCTAAACAGGTGCTTGACTATATGAACACACTTCTTCAGTGTGCTCGCAGTAAATGTTATTTTCCGAATATCACATTGCACCATGAACTGCTCTACTCCAACAGCATGGTATCCAGGAATTCTTAAAATAGATCACAACCTACGTTTTGTATTCAGAACTGCCATGCAATAAATCAGCTTGTTTTGCAAGGCTGTCTTAAGTGACAGCTTACTTACATCTTAAACTGATCCATACTATTTTGTATAAACATACCTGTTTTCTAATGACATATGTGCAAATAAACCAGACTCTCTCAGCAACCCCACTGCTGATCTCCAGTGATGGTTCTCTAATACTGAGGTATTCTGCGAATGAAAAGGGTATTACAGGTATCAATCAATGACTTTTTCTTAAACTGAAGAGCTATCTACTAAGAGTGGTACCAGACAGTTTTGTTATGTTTTGGGGGTGGTGTTTTTCTTTCTTGTTTTCTCCCCCACCCCCCCACCCCCCTCGGCACAAATCCTGAATACTTTGTTAGCTTGCACTTCTTTTTATCCCAGTGGCATGGAAACAATGTCTGGATTCAAACCTACCACTAGCTAAACACATCACAATTTATACTCCTTTTCTGTACTCCTCAGACATTCTGCAAACCTGGTTTTAACAAAGCAACCGATTTTGTCCTTACCTTATATAAAGTTGCTAAGTAATGGTTTGTTTTAATTAGGAAAGGTTGATTAACACCTGGGTGATCCAAATCATGTGTGGCAGCTGCTATTAAACTGAGCAGAACATCCCATGGAGTTAAAGATTTGGAAAGCTGTAAGATAATAACCACAAATGTACTTCTGTTAGCAATGCAAGTATGCCCTCAGAAAAAGTGCATGAGTGTCACGTTTTTGTTTTTCTTTTTCAGTAATTAAAAGCCGATAGAAACTCAGAGAAAATTTTAATAATGTAAATCTAATATTCCACTGAGTTCTCACAGTATTTCCCCCAAAAAACTACAAAATTTCAACAATGATTTAAGCATTATTCTTTCTGAAAGGGAAGGGTCAATCTTTAAAAATGCTGGCACACAAAATGCTACTTTCTGGCTGGTAATGAAGTACTATTTCTAACCAGATCCTGTAAAAGCAGCAAATTCTTAAAATTAGCTTTCCATCTCATTTACCAAGTCTGCCTGTATGTGTCAATTCTGCTTTAAATGTGGACTGTATTTTAAAAAACATAAAAAACTTTCATCTTAAAAGGAAGAAAAATAATGCTCTGGAAGACTTTAGAACTGTTCAGAATGGATTTCTACTCTTATGCAAAATTATATTTCAAAGTCCACCAGGAAAAGAACCAAAGGAGGAAAATCTGCCAAAAATAAGTATTTTCAATAAGTATGTGCATGTCAATTAAGTCCATGCAGTTTCATGCTGAGTTATTTTCACTGTTCATAGCTGTGACTACTTCTGGTTGGGAGTCTGGTCTGTGAGTTAAACTCAGTAACAAAGTCTAGCTTGCACTAAAACAGAGAGGACAGTTCTGCCTGCACAGAAGTGAAATGCAGCAAACACCATGCAAGGAAAGAAGTTCATATTCCCTGTTGCATTTGCCATCTATCATGTCTCACATGTTTATCATGTACTTTGGTGCAACAGAACCAGTAGCTGTATATGTTACTAAAAATACAAAGTCTATACTTGTATCCAAAGCATTACAAAACTTCCATCACGAGTATTAAATAAAAAATGCTCGGAGCTTCCAAACTGCATGCCATAAAAAAAGCTCATCATGTATCAGCTCTGATTTGGCTCACTGCACCAACAATTGATCTGAGAGCAGCACTGAGAAACTAAGTGGGAGGAGTGCGCAAAGAGCCTCTGAAAAACGTCCACGGAGCCAGAACTTACTTGTTTTCACCTCAGAAGTAGAGATATGCTATTCAAGAGAATACCAGATTGGTGATAATCTGCATCAAGCTAGACAACTTCTCACCTGGCTAGAGAGCACTACAGTTTTCAATTTAATACAGAAGGACAGGATTTAGCCCTGAAATTGTCCCAAGACATCACTTACAGCAGACTGCCAGCAGTCCAAGTAATAAGAAACAAACACTCAACTAGCTCAGCTCTTTAAGGTCTGTCACGCTGCCCTTTTTTAGAAAGAAAGGCCAAAGAGAACCCCTGATGTCTTGCTATAAGGTGCCTCTAGCAGAAGCATACTATTCATTAACATCAAAGATGAGCAAAGCAAGGGTAACAGTAGTTTCTGGAGGAAAAAACAACCACCAAACAAAAAAAACCCCACCCCAAACCATGAATACACGTTTATTATCGCCAGCTCTGACTCAGGTTGTGATTCTATGTAAATGTCTTGGGGCACGGTGCTGTGCTAAACAGCTGCAATCTTAATTCCCTACTCTGGTTCAACATGACGTCACACAAAAGACAATGCCAGCTCAGAAGAGGGGAAAAAAGAAAAGCATGCTGCTAAGCGTGAACCCACAGCCTCAGCAACACGGAGATTCCTCCCCCGCCTTTTTGTGTTCAAAGAGTGGTTTCCGTTAGGTTTTGGGGTTTGTTTGTTTTTAATAAAAAGTGTGTGCATATACACATATATGTATATATGTGCACACAATCCATTTATATGCACACGCACAAATACATGTATTTCTATATGTACATGTGATGTAAAAGTGAGAACGCTCCCTTACCTTGGGCTCTTTTAAGTAACAGTGCATGGCCTGAGTCACATCAGCAGCATGAACTGCATTATGATAAGGGTTTTGACTGTGATAATCTTCTTGAACCATAACTGCAGGAAAATAACAAATATCCAAATTTAAATAAAATAGCAATTTTTTCAAGTACCATTTTATATGTCCTTGTTAGGCACAGAAATATGCAATATCACAAGTTACATACACATAAAAGCGTCAAAGTCAATAAATCGTCAGTTGAACCAAGACCCAGGCATAAAAGATTTTTATGTGAAGAAACAGTATTTTCTAAAGTAAATCAACTACATGTAAAGTCATCTCAGAGGAAAAATTAAACAACTTGAAATCAATGTATAATCTGAGATACTTTGACTTTCAGAACTTCCTAGGAAAGGCTCCCTTTGATAAGCTAGCCTGTCTGAACGTTGAGGCAACCTGGAACACAAAATGAAGGTGATACTATTTACCAAAGCATCAGGATGACTTCATATCATGCCTTGAAAACAGACAGGATCAGAGGAATTAGGCACTGCTTTCCTGTCATATGAAGTGCTTTTCTTTCCCCTTCAGGAGAGTGGTCATGGGAAGCCACCTCTACATAGTTTAGGCATCTTCTCATACTTGTACTCAGGCAAATTTAAGCCTATATGCAATTTAGAAAAGAATCTCATTTAGATGATGGTCTGACTAACCACTCCTAGATTTAATATTCCCTATTTAACTTCTTCCTTGCTTTCCTCCTCTATCCTCCAACTTCCTGGCTGTCTTTAAACATTATAGATAGAATACTTTAAAGGACATTCACATTAGCTTGAGTACGTAGAGTAAAAGAACTATAATGTTAAAAAGGATGGAGGGGGAGAAGATCTGAAGCACAGCAATCAAACTATATTCTAGCATTTTGCCTGATATGACACGTTAGCTCTTTCAAGCAAACCTCAAAAGAACACCCTCCTGGCTGGCTACTGTCTGTCAGTCCCATTCAAACAAACATGCCTGCAACCTCTTTTCCTACTCAGTTTACAAGCCAGTACCCTCCATGTAATTGTGACTGTAATGTTGTAGCATTACTGCCGTGGTATTTGTGAAGAGCTGTGGCTCATGAAAAGTCAAAATACTGTAACCATCGTGTAATCTCAATAGTAGTCAATACATAGCTGACACCTCATATGGAAAATAATGAAAATAAGCATCTTCGGGCTCTATCAACCTGCAGTAGATCTCCCTTTCACCTGTTCCTCACATCCACTGCATGAATGAGGATGTCCTTGGCTTACTCCTCAATTTTTTGTGGCTTCATAGGCTGGTCCAGCTACCTGAAGTCTACAATTTTCTTAACTTACTTATTTTAATAAAGCAGACCTAGGACAATATTTTGATCGTGGTTTGCCAGAACTAGAATGGCACAACAATCCTATGTTTCCAGGAATGTAGTACTTTGGATTTTCTCTCCCCCCGTTCAGGTCTGGAATAAGAACTTGAAAACACGCAGTAAGAGGAGACAGATCTCCAAGTAACCTTTGGAAATCACAGAAAGACTGTGTATGTGTATAAACAAACATTTATATACATACACACAGGTGATATATATACACACACACAAAAATAAAATGTTGAGATCCTACTGAGGACTAAAATCTGATTTCTCTCCTTAAAAGGATTCCAGTAAGTTCTCAAATAAAGTGAATTTTATGTGGCACTATGGACCACTTGAGCTGCCCTAGTCTTCTGGAATTTGATCTTCAGATTACTTTGGACTAGGGTATGAGAGGTAGCAAAAGCAAAGAATGAACTGGGTTCATGCTAAGAAGCTATATTCGGAAGAAAGGCTCCTTGATTGGACAGATAGGCTAGGACAGATCTAAGAAATGGTTTTCTTACTGCTATTAAGTAGAAGGCATTAACAGAAAGGGAAAAGTTGCGAATTTCAAAGCTAGAATAAAATTTTGCCTTCTTCCAAGTCTAATCTCATTCTAGTGACTTATGGCTTTGAGTAGTCATACGTAGTTAAGACTATTGTTGTCTTTTTGTAACCATTTAACTAATCCAGTCATTCCTAACTGGTCTTTCATTTCAAGTACTAACCAGGAAATAAGCAAGATGAGAAAGACAAAACCCACTCAGTTACAACTTGAGAAGCCTAAGACCAGATTTCTATAATCATTTTCTTCACATTCCAATATATCAGTCAAGGTCAGCTGATCTACTTTTTTGAAACTGAAAGGAATTGTGTCCACTTTAAAACAACACGAAATGCAAGACAGAACTGAGATTTTTTAAAGCTGAAAGAGAACTAAATGATGAAAACAAAAACATTCCCTTATTTGAAAGGGGAGAAAAGCCTTCCAAGTGTGATTTCTTGTCTGTTAAATGACAAGCTTTATAACCACAAAATTGTTTTCTTTGAAACTGTGAAAGCCTGCTAAAAGGGACCAGAAACTTGTTTCTCCTGCTTAGTTAAAAAAAGGCATCCCACTCCACAAAATTAAATAAAAGGTACTGTCACAGAACCACCAAAGGAAGGAAGTCTCACACCAGCGTCTGTGTCTGTGGTATGGGGGTGCAGAAAGACAGCACTTTCAGCTGTCAAGTTTGGTTTGAATATTCTACATCGCATTTACAATTATTTCTGTTGAAGCATTCCACTGCTGCAGGCCCAAACATTTGAGTAAAATTGTCTTGCGCTCTGTCTATGGAGAAAGTATGCCCACACAGTACAGCGCTTATTTGTAGGAGAGTTTGAGCAAGCAAGAGATAGCATCAAATTGGCACCATTAAATACGGCCAAGCTGGTGTTGTTCAATACAGTTAGGAAACTATATCATGAACTTCCGAAATTAAAAGAGAATTGAAAATCAAAACAAAGAAAGGAGCTGTCTAGCCTTTCCCAATAAAAATGTCACACAATGTCACATACATGCCTGATTATTTAGATTTGATAAGTACAATACAGCATCTGCTACAAAACTACTAAACTTGGTAATACTTCCTTGGATTTGACATGGAGATTTCTGTACTCATAGAAACTTTGAGAGATTGTCTCAATCAGTGTAATTTAAATCACTGCACAATCTGGACTGCATCAGTATTCTTCAAACCTTATTGCTAAACTATAACCAGCACTTCAGTTAAGGTATAAAAATGCGGATAAACAGCAATATTCATCATAATAAAAAGCTGTATTTACCCAAAAATCTACGAAGTTTCATCGTATCTAACTGGAAGTGTTCAATTAGTCCATGAAGATTAAACAGGTGAAAGGTTAAGCTGACTAGACTGTTTCCTAAAAATAAGATGAAAATACTAATTCATTGGAAGCCATGATATCAGTGACTCTTTCATAAGAAATGTAGAATTTCAAACAAATTGGTCACAAAAATTACACAAGCAAATGTCTCTACACCAATTTATGATAAATATTTAAATCTTACTGCATGACAAGATTCCATTAGCTATCTCCTCTAGTAATCACCAATGTTTTTGCATAATCATAATGCAGTCACCAATTGTCCACTGTCAACTGATAAGAGGAAAATGTTACTGAACATTAAAAAAGCAACAGGTTTGAACGTGCAAAACCTGTACAATGGTATTCAACTTTGTGGTATGTTACATCGTGATTTTTATAAACAGACATACAGTTTAAAACCGAATACAAAAATAACCAGGCGAAGGAAAAAGCTAACCAACGCTATCAATTAGTGTACATTGTACATATGCTATCTCTCATTTTCATCATGTGTTTTGCTAAACTACTCCTTATTTCACACAGAACTAAAAGAAAAAGTTTTAAGTTTCTCTAGGAAATGTATACTCTTACAAAAGCTTACAATATACTTCGCCTACTCATAGCTATAATATTACAATCACTTGCAGTGGTAAAACAAGTAAAACTGTAAGAGACAGAAATAGCTTGCTTATTTACTCTGCAAACAATATGTAGTGGCAGATAACTCAGTTTTGGTACACTGACTCTGACAATCTTCATCTAGCAGGAATTAACCGAGCACAGACAGAAACTGAGGTACAAAAGGACAAAAATTTTTGCTAAGTCTCGCTTATTGTACTTGCATGCTTGAAGTACTTGTGTGCGCACACCACTTTCTGGCAATAAGATACACAATTCTTTGAACAACATTTACTGAGTAGCTTGTTTCTTACAGGCTCGTCCAGGGCGGTTCATCAAGCAGAGTTTTAGATACAGCATTCTCCCCTTACAAACTTTCAAGAACAAGACTGCCTGTTCAACATGTCCTCCTAAAATGACTAAATTAGGATGCAAAGAGGATGGTATAGAAAGGCTTCCACAATAGAAGCTGCACTGGTAGTATCAAAAATGTATTTGAAAAAAGCATATTTAAAAGGTAGAGAAGGCCTCATATAAAAAGGATGATTTCAGATTACTCCCATCTGACAAACTAATCTGATATAAGCTATGCTTACAACAGGTTAACTTGTACACATAGCTTTTTTTCATTGTTAACTAGTTTCAAGTTTATATAGATAGATAAACATCCTATTTGTAAAAATCCTCACTGTTTTCATTTTTTATATCCATTTCTGTATTAAATCAAACTGTGAGGATACTACCTTTGCACTAGATTAAGCCAAGCATCCCTTCAAGAAAACAGGAGAGAAAATTATCTTTTGGTGCCGTATTTTCCTTTCCGAACTTCATTTCTGTTTCTTTCTGCCAACTTTAAACACTCTGAGTGCATCTCTACTACCAACTCCATTTGACTGATGTAAAACCTGCAAGAGCTGCCCTCCATTCACTTCCCACGCTGGCACAAATGTTGCTGTGGCGCTGGACTCGCTCATCTCCTCCTTCCATTCTATGCAAAACTCAGCTTCCATTGCTGTGATTATAATACAAAACTTCACCGTACCCACTGCAGCAGCCCTCCCTCTTCCTTTCCAGCACATTTACAGATCTCTTTTCTAACTGTCTGTCCATAACTTAAACAATACTTTGATTTTCTTTTTTTTTAACCAACTACTTCTGTAGTTCCTACCACTATTTGTAATGGGTGCACTAAACTAACCATAATATTCTCTTCCTTTTTGTATTTGTGCAAGCTATGCGTACAGCAGCTTCTGTCTGCTCAACTCCTAATTCTCTAGGTATTATATGTCATAATTATAATACATTCGTACCAACATGCCTTCTTGTTGTCCTGTAAAGTAATAGAACTATTCTATCTAAAATTAAATTTGTCAGAAAAATACTTGTTCAATATAAATGACCTTTTGGACACAACCATATAAGTTACCAGCATTCCATAATTAAAAAAAAGACTAAGTTAGCAAAATTATTTGTTAATTTATATCAAATTACTACTTCAAATTACTAACAGAGAACAGCAGCCTACAAAGTACAAGAAGGGCCTCTTCCACAAATCAATGATTATTATCAGTACTGACAGTAACGGTATTTTAACAGAGTGACCAGGCAAACTAGGATTTAGATTAAAGACTATAAAATCAAAAAGTACTACTTGATGAAATTTGTGCTTTTTAGCGAACAAGCAATCATATACCACAACGTAAGAGCAATAGCTAAGTTATGCTAAGAGAGAAAACACAAATAAAATAGCAAAAGTAAACTCACCATTTGTCAGTCTATCAAAAAGAAAAATATCAAAATTCCAATTTCCAACCTTCTCCAGCATACACTGAAAGAAAACACAAAAGCTGTCACTTTTTTCTCAGTATATGCCTATCTTCCCGTAGCCCAGAGGAGTATTTAAGATTTCAGAGCCTGATGCAAGTCTTAGGATTTCTCTATACAAAAAATAGTATTAAAATAATAATTAAATTTGTCTGATAACTGGAAAACTTTAAAATACATGTTGCAAATTGAAAAACTGAAATACAAGTGTCTTGACAGTATTGGTTTGACATTTTCCCTTCATCCTTTAGTCACTTTCTTAAAAGAAATAAAATTTAAAACAATTAGGTTAAAAACAGAAACAGTATGACAGAATAACTGTGTTCAGACTTCTTCCACTTTTAATTTTTGCAATGAGCTAGTAGTTAATCTCTGTGTAGTCCTCCACCTCAGTTTCTGTTTCCCTTGTTGTTTAGAGAAGAGAAATAATATCTAGATGCTTTACTAGACATATGAGCCAAGCTTTTAATTTCTTTTTTAAGAAACTGGCTTTTGACTTTCCACCTCACTGAGCTAGCACTCCTTCACAGCTGCTCCACATGAACTGTTCTTCCAGCAACAGGGATGAACAAGAACAGCAGACAGCACTCGAGGCCTCACCAGAGTTCAGCAGTCACAATCCTTGCTTCCCCTACCTCTGTCAGAAATACCTGCCCAGTGCATTTTACAAGGGATACTTGCCTTCTCCTATTCTCATTATATTGGTAGAGCTGTTTCGTGATCCAATTACTACGTTCTAGCTTTTCTCCACCAGCCACTAAAACTCAGCTGCCAGAAGAAACAAACAGCATTAACAAGATCTTTCTGCTGTTTAATTAAATGTACATTTTTTAAAAATCCATCCTCCAGGTTACCAGGTTCTTCCTACACTGCAGCCTGATTGCGTGCCATACGGATACATTGCATTACAAGCATACTCCTTTTCTGCGTCAAGGTTACGAACAAGAAGCCTTACACACAATCATTAAGAAGACACAGCCTTTGGAATCTCGAACACAACCTGTAAACTTTGCCTGCTCAGTCCCCTTCAGCTCTATCCATCCTCTGTCCCCAATTCACTAGCCCTTCATCCAACTAACTATTCTTTTAGTACTGCCCATCTTCCCAGTTTGCTTTACTGCAGTGTGGGTATATTAGAGCTATCACACTTTTATTTTCTAGAAGAATTGCCTACCAAAGAAAAAGTCAGTTTGGCATAATAATCTGCTGATAAATCCATTTATGCATTTTATTGAGTATTCAGTAGTAGTTAGTCACTCTTCCAGATGTTCAGTAATGAGGTTAGACTAAAAAGGAAAGGTGGAGGGGTGGGGGGTAATAGTTGTCTAAATTGCTCCATCATGTTCAGTAATGAGGTTAGGCTAAAAAGGAAAGGTGGAGGGGTGGGGGAGTTGGGGGGGTAATAGTTGTCTAAATTGCTCCATTACATTTCTTAAATAGTTACATTTTTCTTTCTTCACTTTCTTCAGTTATTACAGTGCATCCTCCATTCACTAGAGTTATTAAAAAAACTGCTAGCCATATAAGCTCTAAAAATCATCCCAGTAAACTTGTGGGAGGTAAAGGAGTTTGTAAGAAACCAGGTAATTTTGCCTGGACTTTATTAAGATATAGACAAATATACTATTTGTATAGTATTTATACACACACAAACACACACACAGATATAAAAAATACATGCTTAAAATTTGTATTTGGCTGCACTATCACTTAGCATAAGATACAGTTATATACTAGCGAACATTTTAAAAAGCATAATTAAAAAAAAAATAATCAAGCAACCAACCTTTGCTTGTCCATTATAGTCATCATCTAAAATGTTTGAAGAATTTGAAACAGTGATACCACGGAAAAAACGGGAAGATCTCAGGTATCGCTGGAAACTAAGCAACCTTCTCACATTTCTCGCAGACACAGACACCTCGATTTCAGAATTTGCTGCAAAAAACAAGACAATAAATACTCTCTAATAAACCTTTACAAAAAAAAAAAAGACTGTTCAGGGAAGTTTGGTACAACAAAGGCACTACAATTTTTATTTTTATTGATGTATCAAATGTTTCAGTCACAGAGATTTTTATTAATAAGAAGTACAGAGCCATGGCTTAGAAAAGAAAGTTTTCTATGTAAGCATCCTGTAAAGAAAAACAAATATTTAAAAATCATAGCCGAAACTTATCTTTTTAAGGAACTCTGTTATTGAAAGGACAGAAATATTACAGAACTTGTGTAAAAACACACACAGTATTCCAAACAAGTTCTTTTTGGAAAACTGCTCTCATGTATACACATCCGATCCATGTCCCTAACAAATCACGTAAGGGATGTTACATCAGCAAGAGAATATTAGTAATTGTGTGTTAATACAGGAGTTACAAGTAGGTTTTGAGCACGTACAAATAACTTCTACACGGATTTTAAAGCTCAGAAATTCTCTTAACTTTACTGGCAAAGTTTTAAACACACTGAAGTGATTTTGGTGCTTTTGCAGATAATTATGCTCAGAACCTCTCCTCTGCCAAACAAGTACCACATTTACTTTCACAGCATATGTAATTCCATTTCCCACTACGGTGAAAAGACTACAGAAAATTGTTTTAGCCTGTTTGCAAAGATTAATCCAAATATTTTCCTTTACTCTTATTAGGTTAAAAATGACTGATGCTAGCTTATGTTCAATTCCACTTGATCCAAAAATGCAGATCCTCAAAACCAATATGAGCCCAACTTTGTAGTATAGACCTCTTGCCCTTACAAGAACAAGGCATATTAGAAATTGGTGCAGTAAGCTGTTACAATTTTTGTTCTTAAAGTCAGTCTAAAATATTGTACAGGGGAAGGTGTGGCCTTATTAACAACCTCAATTAAAAACCTCAGTGATTTCTAGTGAAAGCAGTTTAATTCTACGTAAGATAAATCTTTAGCCGTATAAATTCTTCTCCCTGCAGAAGTTCCAACGTACCTTCTGTTCTACATTAACTCATTAATATGTTAATTACCAATCTACACTAATAAAATGCCTCTGAACAGAATTGACAATTGCACGAACATACAATATCTAATCAAATGCAGCAGCATTTCACATCAACAGTCTGCGCTAACAGAGACTAAATTGACAAGACTGGAATATTCTTTCACACATGCCTGAAACACTTCATCAAGATACTGAAGTTCCCATCAGTTTCAAAGGGCTAACACAAATAACTTCATGTGAGATACCTTTCTTCAGGTCATCACAATTAAGGCCAAGGGCGTTTCCTCTGGAGACACTGGTACATATGTATATCTCTCTCTCCTCCAGTTACGTAAGCAGGTGTACTATATATAATAAAGGTTGCTTATAAAGCAACATTCACACGTACAGCAGGCAAATAAATTCTGTCGTGCTGCATTACTCTACTAATATTTCTAATCACATTTGTTAACATGAGGTTACAGTCTGAGCACTGCCAGCCTGCAGAACAGAGAAGCAGGGAGCAATACAGCTGTTCCTGTTAATGGAGCAGAGGTTTCAGGTAAGAAGTCCGCCCGCCGACCCCCCCACCCCCCCCCCCCCACCCCACCCCGCCTTGATCCAGTCCCTTAAAATCCAAATTTCAGAACAGAAGTCATTAGGTTTGAAATAAAATAAAATGGGTATATTTAGGTCATTAAATGATCCAAAATGTCCACAAAGTCACTACAAAATCCAGGAACTTCACTAAATCTCAGTAAAATGAAATATTTTAAGTAGGAGAAATCGGCACTCTTCTGGAAGTACAGATAGTTTTCTTGATCATAAGTAGTCTTTTACAGATCAATAGTTAACAAAAACATACTTTTGTTGTCATGCTACAAGTAAGTCTCACTGTCACAGATGCCACCCGTTAATCTTTAGCAGAACAGTATGATGTAGGTAAAACAAGCAAACCAACAGCTTTTGTCAGCAAAGCACACACCACCACAGAACTGCGATAATTTGGCAGTATAGGCCTGCGTTCAACCTATATTTGTGTTCATAAGTCATTTGGGGGGGTTGCACATGTTTTTGCTTCAGAATTTTTTGTGATGATGGTGTGGGTACAAAGGCAAATGAATTACTCAGTTTTCTGTGAAGCTGAAAAGTCATTACTCTTTACTTTGCAATATGCTATTGAGACATTCATCTTAAAAATATTTTTAAACTCTCTAAATTAGCATCAGTTTGTATAGTTCGTAAACCACTGCTCTTACACATTAATCCTACTTCCCCCCCCTTATTTTAAAAAAAAAAAAAGTAAAGAAGAAAAAAAGAAAGAGAAAAAAGCACTGCTCCAGCTGATGTAATTCAAACAAACAAGAAAGCCTACTTCATTCCAGCTTTCTTGGCAGCAATGCTGCCATTACAGAATCACAGAACGGCTGAGGTAGGAAAGGACCTCTGGAGGTCATAGACCACATTGCCCAGGACCACGTCCAGATGGCTTTTGAATATCTCCAAGGGTGGAGACTCCACAACCTCTCTGGGCAACCTGTGCCAGTGCTCGGTCACCCTCACACTGAAAAAGCATTTCCCGATGTTCAGAGGGAACCTCCCATGTTTCAGTTTGTGCCGTTGCCTGTTGTCCTGGCACTGGGCACCACTGAAAAGAGCCTGGTCCCGTCCTCTTTGCACCCTCCCTTCAGACATTTATATACATCGATAAGATCTCCCTTGAGCCTTCTCATCTCCAGGCTGAACAGTCCCAGCTCTCCCAGCCTTTCCTCATCAGCCCCTTAATCATCTTCCTGACCCTTTCTTGGACTCTCCCTAGCATGTCCATCTCCTGTGTAACTGGGGAGCCCAGACCTGGACACAGCACTCAAGGTGTTGCCTCACTAGTGCTGAGTAGAGTGACAGGATCACCTCCCTCGACCTGCTGGCAATGGTCCTCCTAATGCAGCCCAGGATACCATTAGCCGCCTTTGCTGCAAGGGCACATTGCTGGCTAATGTTGAACTTCACGTCCACCACGACCCCCAGGTCTTCTTCTGCCAAGCTGCTTTCTTGCTGGGTGGCCCCCAGCCTGTGCTGGTGCCTGAGGTTGTTCCTCCCCAGGGGCAGGGCTTTGCGCTTCCCTTTGAACTACTATTTATTCCACATGTATAGCCCAAGTTTGGTAATAACAGCTTGACCAAACGTCCTATCATTTAGATCTGCAATGATTAGAATAACTTCCAAATGAGAAACGAGATTTTGAGCCCTGCCAGCCCTCTGCAGTTCCAGAACACCTAATTCAGGGGGACTACCCCAACCCAAAAAGTAAATTGCTCTCTATAACAGCTAAACATTTGCTACGGGACAATTCAGAATAGGTGAGTCAGATGTGGAGGTTTGACAGGTAATTAATTTAAAAGGGAGGCTGAAAAAGAAAACAGCTAGCTTTCAAGGAAGGGCCAGGGCGGGGGGGGGAAGGTAGGTTCTTCAGCTGCAGGAACACTGATAGCATCCATGCTTGCAGTTTCCTTTTCCTCACAGATGATTTGTTATGAAGGATACAAAAATCAACCACTTTGTGGTTCTGGCAGATCAGCAAAGACAAGTTCATGGGAAGGACTGGTAAACTGAACGATACAGTTGTGCAATGGAAACTTGGTATTTCCCTCCTGGCACAAGCGGAAAGCTCATTCCCTTTATATGCATGATTAATAAGAGAACGTCAGCCTACCCCCTTCTATCATGAGTCACGAAACAAGATGTTAATTTCAGACACCCTACCAAAGCAAAGTTCAATAATGTATTTATAATGGAAAGAAGGTGAAGAGTGAATACATTTGCTCAAGAAAAAGCGTGCTGCAAAACCATCCCTCCTCCCAGCCCAAACGTCCTTCATTTCATCTGGAGCTTGTAGTGTGCTAAATGCCCTTCTAATATCCAATAGTGACCATTTGCTCTTAAGAAATAAGGACAGTTCAAGGACAAATTAGAATGAGAAAAATAAATGCATGTGACATTTACAGTCTTGAGAACTGAAACGAAATAAAAGCAAAATCAGCACGTTGGGAATGTTAAGAAGGAAGCTACAGCATTCACAAGTGCCTTCAACGCAAGGAACCAGAAGACTGAAACTGTAGGTCTTTGTGCCTAGTCAACAGCAGCTCTCCTAGAACATTCTTCTTCCCTTCTTAACTCTTCATGCCCCACTTAAAGTTAGAATATCACCCAAAATATTTATTACTTCCAAGTTATTTCTTTATTAAAATGATTAGATACTTAAAAACAAGAATATAAAGTGAGATGCTGGTATAATAAGAAATGCTTTTCTCTAAAATAAAGAAAAAAGGAATAATTCTGCTTGCTAACATCAGTTATTTTGCTAATGTTATGCATATACAGCAAGAAAATAAAATAATGCCACTTGTCTTCATGCAACAGATTTCATCTGTATTCCAAGACGCTTATTTTAATCTCTTCCCACTCCCAATCTTTTAAGTGTGTTGTACTTCATGAAGAGCTAAAAAGATAATTTTATCACATTTCACAGGGATATTAAATATTTATTTTTCTCATGCTGAAATAAAAATACAAAATAAGTAGAGAAAAGACAAGTGACAATCACTTAGAAAATCATAATATACTGATATATTTATTCTCAGAATTTTTGCATCTTTTGTATAGTAAGGACAGACAACAAAAGGAAGAATGACAACTTAATTATGGTTTGGTTTAATTTTTTATTAATAGAAACCTTAAATCCTAGCAAAATCCTTCAACTTTCTTTTAATGCAGAGATATCTCTTAATGCAAAGATAAAGATTCACAGCCTCTGTTTGATGGGGTCCTGGTCGAAACAAGGCTATCCAGCATAAGAACTATACGTCCATTTCCTTCCCTGCTACAGCCCAAAAGGTAAATAGGAAATTATCCTTGATTTTAAAAAAAAAAAATCATTGAATTTTGCTATTACCAATAGAAAGAGCTTAACTGAGGATCTCGGGTA